ATAAATTCAAATATCTAGGATCAGTCATATCCTCAGATGGAAAATGTGTGACAGAGATTAAAAGTAGAATAGGTCGAGCGAAAGATGCATTTCAGAAAATAAAAATAAATATCTTATGCAATAAATCGTTCTCATTTAATGTCAGAAAGAGGGTGCTAAAATGTTACACAGAACCTGTTCAGCTGTATGGCAGCGAGTCTTGGAATGTCACTGAACAAATTAAGAAGAATTTGGAAGCAACATAGATGTGGTTTCTGAAACAAATGTTACGAATACCTTGGACGGCCTGAGTAGCTAACAACAATTGTTTGAAAGAAGCTAATGAAAGTAGGTCTCTATAAACAACAATAAGAAAGAGACAAACACTGTTCTTTGGCCACATAATGAGAAGAGAGAATTGGAGAACATTGTGACAACTGAAAAGATCAGTGGAAAAAGGGGTAGAGGCAGATAAAGAGAGATGATGCTGGATGGGTTGAAACGATGGCATCATCAAGAGAGCTGTTCTAGGCAACCAGGGATCGTAATCTATGGAGACGCATGAGCGCCTACGCCCGTTGGCAGGGTACATTAGATGACAGACCCCCCCCCCCCCACCACCCCCACCCCCCAAAAAAAACCATTAACTGAAGATTGATTGATGAAGATTTAACTAGGTCCCATGCGTTCTTAACCGTTCGACCAACCGCCTCTCTTTCAAACGTCCACCTGACTATGTCAAAGTAAAAAAAATAGTTTGTATTTATTGATACACTGTATCAATTTCCGCTTTGGCTGCATATTATTTTAAACTAACATTCGTCTCATGTTATAATCCCACTTGTATCACTGACTATATCTTGCCTTTTGCTCGCCTTTATTCAAATACCGCCTCAAGTCTTATGTTTATTTATCATCTTTTAATATGGAGAAAATATTTATTTCCCCCATTCTCTCTCTCCTGCTCTCTCTCTCTCTCTCTCTCTCTCTCTCTCTCTCTCTCTCTCTCTCTCTCTCTCTCTCTTCAGTTACCCTATTTTCATTTCCAATATGTCCAGACCTGCTCTACTTGTTTTTAATTTCTATAAAATAGGACTTAGTCTTTTGTTATCTACAATTTTATAATTGTCTGCTCCGTGTCCAGGTTTCGGTACCATATATATATATATATATATATATATATATATATATATATATATATATATATATATATATATATATATGGTAGGGCTGTGTATATAAAATATGAGAATTATAATTTGCAATGTATTGCTGATTTCATTGTAAGTTTAAATGTTTCTCATGCTGCTGTGCTGAGAAAATAATTGTGTCAAATTTTTTTTTTGGGGGGTGGGGGGGGGGGAGGAGGGGTCTACTCACCCATGACTTTTCCGTTGCTCCTGAATCGCTCTGAACTAGTTATTGAGCGAACGTAACTCTTCACACCTGGAAGAACATCCAGTCCAACAAACCGATACAAGATCGTGGTCAGAGAAAATGGATGCTGGGCCAGATCTTCATATCGGATGGTCAGTATTCTACCTTTGAAAAGAAAAAAAATATTCGAGTTTAGTCAGACAATCGTTGTGCCAGATAGCAGCTTTACGTCAGGGTATTTCTAACATAATCATTTTTTTTTACCGGGTCGGTCTCCAAAATGCCCAGCCTGGCAGCCTGATTACCCTGAGGATATTACGTCGGTAATTCGGACTGAACGGGAAAACCGCCCGGCAAAGTTTTTTTTTTTTTTTAAGATTGGTTTTGCCGATCGGGTTTCACCCGTGACTTAGTTGTGGCCAATCCCGGTCCTTTTGGCACAACCCAGTACAGCAGATCTACACTTTGATCTTAGCCCCAAAAAAACATAATCAATATCAACGCAATATTTCCCCGTTGGGAAATTGAAAAAAAGAAGACACAAACAACAGATTGCACAATTTATTGCCTGGCATATTTTGCTGCACCTCATCAGGTGCATACTGCAGTAACCATTGATTAAAATGAAACTAATTACCAATTTAAATGCACCTGTAATTCTGCATATTTGGCCAGAACGGATCGACGACTAGAGAAACTGGTTGCTGAACATATTCCATCCACTATGGGTGGTAAAAACAAAGCAAAACACAAACATCTCAACAACAACGAACCAGGTTCTTCATATGTTAACTTTCTTCACTTGCTCGGGGAGACGTAATCCTAGTCGATGTTATTTATAATAAAATGATGATTAAAACAAAGACTTGTCTATCGGGCTTGTGTTCTCAGGTGTTTGCTTTATGGCAGGGAAACTTGGTCAACTTATTCGCACCTGGAGAAACGACTAAATAACTTTCACATGCGATGCCTAAGAAGAATACTTGGCGTTAAATTGCAGGACAAAATCACAAACACTTAGGTATTGGAAAGAGCAGATATTACAAGTCTTCTTAGTGCACAGTCTACGAAGACTTAGGTGGCTAGGTCACACCTGGAGAAAGGACATCATTTATGGTTAATTAAAGACGGGTAGAAGATGTCAAGTCGACTTCTACTACGATATAAAGATGTGAGCAAGCGGGAAATGAATGATACTGGTATTGAGGAGGACTCGTGGCAAATAATACCTTGTTGTGTGAAGAGGGCACATCAGGAAGGCAATAAGAATGAAGTAAGAAATGATTGCAGAAAGGATGAGAGCAGAGCGTCTGAGAAGAAACAGACTAAACACAAATGTTGACAACAACGGTCCTGAAATCCCATGCTATAATTGTGGAAGACTTTTCTTAATGCGGGCAGGTTTCGGTAGTCACACTCGCCATCGCCATGGGCTGTGAGTCACGTGCCTCCTCAGAGCACAATGTGACACTATTGTCTGGAAAGACGGAAAGGTGCTTCTCATCATGTTTGTAACAAAAGACAAACAGTTATAACAAATAGTAAAATACTGCATTTTTCTTTGGCAATGAAAAGTGCCAAACATGGACACTATCTAAAGCCTGTATACGCAAAATCACCACCTGCGAGATGAGGTGCCTGAGAAAAGCAGCCAAACTAACCATCCAAGATCGCGTTAATAATGGAACTATCAGGCAAACTGTGGGAACGACACCTTGTACTAGATTCATCGAGAAACAGCAGATCAAGTGGTTTGGCCATCTCGTTAGAATGCAGCAAGATCAAATACCATCACAAACACTACATCTCAGAAGATCAGCTACAAGATAAAGAGGACAGCGGCGGAAAACATGAATCGACAACATTAAAGACACTCTACGCCTTCACGGCATGACAATAGCCTGGATCGCAAATTATTCCTCCCCACGTCGCTTAACGGCAGAAATGGTTTATGATTATGATGCTGTTACGTGCATGCCTCGCCATTGTCATAACTTATCTGTCAATGTACGAGTAACTTACCCCAGTGTTTCTCGGCGATTTCTCGCGAGACTCTGATGTCCTCCCACATCCGTCGGCAGATATTTGTATAATTCTTGTGCATTTCTCCACTAGTTTTCTGGTTGAAACGCATCCTAGACAGCAAGATGCCCCTCGGGTCACGGATCAGGTGGATGATCCGCACGTCTGGATCTCGTTGTAGGTAGACGTCTGCTTCAGCCATTGAGAGACGTACAACTTTCTGCACGATCGTCTTGTTCAGGCATCTTGTAAAGAAACAGGAAAAAAAGATTATATGCATAATATATATTCTTCTTCTTCTTCTTCGCTATTACCTGCTGGGAACTCCGACGGAAAGTTTTGGTTGTTCATCTACTTCTGGAATTGTTCCAGAGCCTGAGCATTGTGTGTGCATTCTTTTTTTTTTTTTTTTTAATTAGATCTGGCTTTTGTGTGTGCAGACTTTTGGTTCCTCGCCTCTCGGGCAAATGCACTCCCACTTCGAAGGAAGCATCCATCTTACGACATGCTTGTTGTGTGGAAGAGAGTCTATGCCTCACAAACACACCCCCCCCCCCATACACACACACACCACCACCACACACAGAGTTGGACCCAAGAATCCCCATGGGAAATAATAAGATATGAAAACTAAAAGATAAAATCAAATGTGTTTTGTTTTTAAAGAAACGCAAAACTAATGTTGCACATACAAACGAAAAATGTAAAAAGTTTGCGGTATAACCAAATGTGTGTGTGTTTTCTCTCTCTCCACACCGTGGGGTTTGGGGTGGGGATGAGGAGGGGGGAGGAGCTTTACTCGTATAAAGTTGCGTATCCTTTACAGGACGTTGCAGAACCAACCACACAGCAGCTTCCCGCTGCTGTGTGTTTTCTATAGGCAATTTACATACAGTAGTTTGCCATTGCTTACTGGACGGTCGGCTTTCTTGATACCACTGTCGAAACCAACGCAAGGCGCATGGCCCGCAGCTGGGATCAAATCTGGCATCTCGGCATTACGAAGCGAAGCGTTCGCATCGACTTAGCCACAGAGCCGACTTACTCGTATTAACCACACACAAAAAGTGAAAATAATTTAAAATAATCAAATGTGATTTTTATTTCTGTAAAGAATCAGGGAGAAAAGTTATCCATACACATTATTATGTAAAAAGCTTGATCTGTAGCTAAATGTGTGTGAGTGTGTGTGTGTGTTGTGTCTGTTGTCTTGTGTGTGCGTGTTGTGTGTGTGTGTGTGTTTGTTTAGTAAAGAAACCGAAACACATATTCGAGTGTGCGGCATTTCAGATGTAACATTTTTTTAAGTTTTCAATTCCTCTGTTTTTCTTTTCACTTAGTCTGCAGATCTACGGCCCTCACAATTTATATTGCTGGGTTGCTCTTCTGAGGAGACACAGGTTCGAATCCTCGCTAAGGCTGAGGATTTTTTTTTTCTGTCAGGGGAAAAAAAAATCCTCAGCTGCACAGTCGTGGCGACAGAACTAGCCATGCGGCCATAAATCCTTAGTCTCAAAGACTCACCCGCCTACACTGCAAAATGTGGTAAAACAAAGGCAGTAATTGGCAGTTTGGCTCTTCTGTGCTAGATTTTCTTTCTCTGTCTCGCTTCATTGTTAAGTGTTATTTTTTCTTCTTCTCGTGATCGCTGGCAAATTATGAACAGTCTTGCTGGAGGTACTTTTTAGTTCGAGGTTCCGGTCAGTATAGCGGATAGGTGGGTTTACTGTTTTTTTTTAATTCGTGGCAAGTTTTTGCTTCTGATAATAGTCGACCTGGGTGCCAAGGTCATGAGAAAAAAAAAATCACTTCATGCGGCTCTAAATACACGACCTTTTTATCTGTAGGCGAGCGTCTAGCCGCTACAACGTGGTGGCTTCCTTAGTCGAAGTTTTATGAGAAAATAACCCAGGCTAAGACAACTGTGCTGGTATAAAGCAAACAAAGTAAAGCAAAGCAACGTCCGGCTCCGTCGGGACCCGAACCTATGACTTTCCGATTCGCAGGCGAGCGTGTAGCCGTTACACAAGGGCGACTCCCATCGCAAAAATCACAGAGACCAGAAAAACAATCTTCAAGGGAGAACTGACCTTTGATGAAGTCTGTCAACACAATCCTGAGTCAAGTTCACCAGAACGTTCCCGTGTTCCCATCTGTTAAAACAATCCACGGCACTGAAGTCCCAGCTGTGCCAGACATTTGTGAGGAACTCCACGTTGTACGTAGTCATGTTACATCCAAACATGTAGTCCAGAAAGTCGAGTGGTTCTGGCAGGTAGGGTTTGCTCTGACGCCAGAAGTGTTTTGTTCTTTGCCTGTGGATGTTAAAATAAATAATCTTTTCTCCTTCTTGTTGACCGGCTTAAACATCCACAAGACCCCATCAGCAGACTCAACAGAAAGCAACATACAACAATATTCCGTCTACATACAGGACACTGCAGGCTCAACTACCACATGCATAAAATAAAGATTGTACAGTCCCTACAATGTGCCTGTCAAACAGGACCACAAACACCTGAGCACATTCTGCAGTCATGTAGCTATTTTCTAGCCAAGGAAAGGATGGGAGGGAATAGAAAAGACACACATTGCGAGAGAAGCTATGGGGGACCGGTGGCGACCTTAGACGCACAATCCTATTTTTGACCCAGACGGGACTCAATGTGTAGCATGACTGACGTCGAACGCAGAAGAAGAAGAAGAAGAAGAAGAAGAAGAAGAAGAAGAAGAAGAAGAAGAAGAAGAAGAAGAAGAAGAAGAAGAAGAAGAAGAAGAAGAAGAAGAAGAAGAAGAAGAAGAAGAAGAAGAAGAAGAAGAAGAAGAAGAAGAAGAAGAAGAAGAAGAAGAAGAAGAAAAGACGCACCCAGACGCAACCTCGCATTTCGACTAGTCTTTATCAACGAATGAAACAATAAGAATGCTACACTACAAAAACCAACGAACGAGCAGGCCACAAGGCAAGTTGTTTAGTTAACTGAGTGACATCCACAGGGGCGCTTGCACCTTTGGGCTCAGACACCCCACCCGACCCCCGATGTTTATAATGTTTCTTTGCTAAAGAAAAGAACAATCGTCACATTCAACCAGCATCCCCGATGGAAGAGCTTTGTTTGCCGTATAAAATGGCTTAGCACGTCACGCCATCAAGAGCACTGAAAAGACTTGCAGTGTTGATGCGATCAAAGGAGACAAACCCAAATACTGTCCCGACCGATGACGAAGTCGTCTGCCGGCGAGCGAATGGTCGACCTGGTCGCCGATGACTGAAATCTTCATGGTACATCGAACCAGGGGCGCTTGAACCTTTAAACTCAGACAGCCTACCCCAACGCTCTAATATTTATAGTGGCTAAACCCGGCTAGAAAATGTATGAAAGGGTTATGCACCCCATCCCCACCCCTTTCAAGTATTTGTTAAACGTTTCACAATCGTTTCAAATATATTATTATAGATATTCACCAGAAGCAAATCTTTTTTTTTTTTTTTTATCAAGTTCACTGGTTTCCGGCGGAAACTTATGGTTTTTCGTCTGCAATTGGGCTTTAATCTTGTTTCAAAACTTGAGTTTTGCGTGCATATCCATTATACATCTCTGGCGTTTTTGTTTGTAGACTGTTGGTTCATCGCTTTCTAAATCGGATGCACTGCACATCGAATAAAACATTAGTCCTCTATAACCACGTATGCTTGGTAGGGAGCAGTGGTTCGATTCTTTTTCCCCACAATAGGAACCCGGAACCCACACAGGAAGTTCAACAAATTAATTTTTAAAAAAAAATAATTATTAGTATTATTATTATTTCCTCTGTTACCTGAAGGTTTTGTACAAAAATCCCTCCTTTCTTCTTTAATTTTTCCATAAAAACTTACCATTTGCTTTGCTGTAGGAATAACAAATAAATAAAACACACCCCTGTGGTTGCCAGATTTATTTAGTATACACTGACCAAAATTTAAAAACACGAAGACACTTGATGTAACGTTTGAGACATGTGGTTACTAGTCAGTAACACATCATGCCTTGTTTGGGACTGAAAGAGTTAGTAGTACTCACTTAAATAAGGTTTAAGCCACTAGAGGCCCCTTCCTTCAGAACATTTGTAAGGAGACTAAGGCCTCTCTCCCTCCGGGAGCTCCCATCCAATATTGCAGCCTGAGTCTTGCAGCCTGAATCTTTGGCCGAGTCATAATACGGATGCCAATCCAACCAGACAAATCCCAAACACAAATCTCATAAAGTAGTTTTTATCAAGGCACCCTGTACGAAGTAAATATCGGTCCTGTATGGGTGAGTACCATCTTTTAGGTGTTCAGAACCTCAAAATTGCTTAATCCAGCTATGCATAAAACCACCAAAATATAGTTTCCATACTACGCATTCGTGACATACTTCGGAAATGGCACTTGTTGGACATGTGTTGACCCAACAAAGCCAGAGGTTTGGTTTGGCCAGAATTGCGTGGAATGCCTTATCCCACGGGCCTTCCTCGGTACTAATTCTGGCACGAAGTCAGGAAAATGCCACGTAGTAAGCTTTACATATGGTTAGAGTTACGACAAAGTCGCAGTTTTGACTATTTTCGCCTGTTCATTTTCAGAGCCTTTATCCTGTCAGTTTACAATTTACCAAAGGTCTTTTTATTCTCAAGTTGTTTAATAAAATTCTTTAGTAGGTCGACTACTATTCGTGGTACACTTTACGTCACTCGCTATCTTTCTCTTTTGGAATTAATAAGTAGCCCAGTGTACTTCTCAAGTGGTTCGCAGAAGTTCTTTGGTAAGTCGGCAGCTATCCTTGGAACATCTTAGGTCATTCAATATACACCTGAAGTCGTTCCCTGGTCTTGACAAGGCGGTCATTGAAGCTCTTTGGTAAGTCAGCCACTATCCTTGGTACACTTTAAGTCAATAGATATCTTTCTCCAGAGAATATTGCTTGATGTCTTGCTCCTTTGAAAACCTTAAGTCACCCAGTGTGCTTTTTAAGTCTGTCACTGATCTTGACAAGTCGGCGACCGAAGTTACTTAGTAAATCGTCCACTATCAGCAGCACACAACAACTCAATCTATATCTTTCTCTTTTGGGACACCTCAAGTCACTCAATGTATAACACAGAGTACTTCACTGTCTCTCCCTGACAAGTCGACAAGGTGACTTTAAGAAAACACAGGCCGACTTTTAGAAAACACAAGGCGACTTTTAGAAAGCACGAGACCCCACAAAAGCCCAATCCAAGCCGCCACATGACCTCAAACCACCCGAGACCCTTTGACCCGCAGCTGACCCTTGACCGAGCCTCACCCAAACCGTTAAGTGGCCTAGACCTCTGGCCTAAAAGGCCAAAAAGGCCAAACCGGGAGATACTGCAACGCTCGCTTCTCGTTTGGGAGGTGCAAATCGATTTATCTTAAATCCCACATGTCCACAGAAGAGTCATTTTGCACGCCCGTCAGTCAGTTACTTGACATGCAAGTCTGTCTGTCTAGTAAAGATATCAAGAAAACGTAAAATATAAAAACGAGCCGTCAGGATAAGCAAGCTTGTCTCTTGATCCGTCAGCGGATTGCTGGATAAGCAAGTCTGTCTATTGATCTATCACGACCAGAGTGATAAGCTTATGGTTGGTTCATCGGACAATGGTTAGACTTTGGCTTTTGGCAGAGAGACACCGGCAGACATTTATCGGACACATTGGCTTTTAAGGGATAAGACGCTCTATTCCTTTAGGGACACAGACCAGTCTACCAAGACCCATCCCCTACGACGTTTCTTTGCGTCCAGAGACAGCTCAAAGCACTTTCAGCAGCTTCGCCCAGTTGTTTTAGTTACCGTTTACGCTCGTTTCCTCGCAAGCCCAGCCGCTTTAGCACACTGTAAATGAAAGTGGAGATAAGACCTTTTGCTCCCACCTCGACGGCGAAGATTTTTACTGGGTACACTCCGTCTCTCCTCAGACCGACCACGAGATCCACATACTTCTCGAGCTTGTGCAGTGATTTTCGTCCATTCGTGATTCCTACGGCATGGTCAGCTCAATCAGGATGAGCTGGTGTTTCTCCGCATAGTGTAGGACTATTGTTGCGCGCTGATTTAGGTAAAGTGTGATATTGTGGGAAGGGACAGTGGTATGCCTGTACTATCTGTAAGTTCACGGGGGGAACATGGTCCGAGTTTTGAGAGGAGACCAGTGAGATATTCATGAACAAGGCGTGCACGCACGAGAAAGTGGACGCGTGGGTCACGGTTTGGGGGGGGGGGGGCTGAAAGCATGGATAACGAGATAAACAGAGAAAGTGTGAATCAAGTGACAGCGTGATTCTCAGGTAACATCAGCCACCCACATAAGTGTGATTCTCGAGAACGCTCATATGAGCGTGAGTCCCGAGAACACCCACGGGATCATGAGTCACGAGAACGCACATACAAGCGTGCCTCTCGTGTAGACATCATCCACCTACACGGATTTGACAGGGATAAATTGGAATGCGTAGACGGTCCAGGGGAGTGAGCTGTAGCCTGAGGGCTAAAGCCCCTCTAGGGCAATCGAAAAGCAGTCGAGAGAGAAGCGAGAAGAGAGGGAGAGAAAGCGAGAGTCAGAGACCAAGTCAGGGTCCGTGATATCTCTCGCGAGTCTAACAGACAAGAATACCGTACGACTATCAGGCATTTATGTCTGAGTGAGTGTCGAGGTTGCGGTACTGAAGAAGATATATAGAGAAATCGAGAGTCAGAGACCAAGTCAGGGTCCGAGATATCTCTCGCGAGTCTAACAGACTAGAATACCGTACGACTACAAGGCATTTAGGTCTGAGTAAGTGTCGAGGTTGCGGTACGGAAGAAGATATGTTCCCGCTGGCAAAGTAAGTCCAGGGGACGGAAGGCCATTAGTACCTGGTTTCGGAGTACGGCAAGAGGAGTCCGTCTCCAGTCAGCCATGTTGTATGCTGAATTAATATCAAGGTCCAGTGAATGGGAGAAGTCGTCCTGTTCAGCTGTAGGGCGCGTCTAGAGTGTGGGACGCTGTAGTCCTTGGAGCTGTAGTAGGCAAGGAGAGGCCACTACAAATTGAGAGATAAAGAGCGAGTGGGGACAAATGGACGATGTGCGAATGTCAGCTGTGATCAATAACTACGTCTCTGCATTTGTGTCATGTATCCTGTTAAATAAACATGTATGACGGTGTCATCGTCGTCGAGTTTTATTTCTAAGAGAGGAAGCTGAAGAGTACCTACTAGATACTTGGTAGTGTGCTGACTCATTTAGCACACAACAACTATGTCGGGTTTCAGGCGGGTCTTCCGGATTGACTCTGTGTACCTATCGAAACCAGGCAGGTCGACAGCCAGTAAACCAGTTCCTCGCACAGTCAAGTATTGATGGAGCATATGCGACCTTGTTGATTTTACCTTTATAAATCTGCCTAGCCTTGAGGAAACGCATGCGGGTGACGGTAAGACTAGCCTTCGCGTTGGCGCTCATAATGTCTTGGTCCACAACGTTCGCTAACTCTTTCAGGACTGTGTTGTAACGCCAAGTATATCGTCCCTGGCCTAAGGTTTTTCTGCACGCGGAAATTACGTGCTCAAACGTGTAGAATTTTTGGGTGGTTAATTACGTTCAGTATGGCGTGTACTTATGCAGTATTGCTGCGTGTACAAATGACGGCATTCTTGATTGACTGCTTGCGGTCTCTCTGATGAGAGACCGTTAGTGCTTGCAAAACTATCGGCTGCCTTACGCATTTACTTTGCATGTGCGAGCTTCAAGATTTTGCTGGGACTAGTATGTTTTTCACTTTTTCTTTTCAAATGGGACACTGAAGGAAAGTTTTTGGATATCCACTGACACAGGAACGAAACAGATTTGGGGAGATTCGTCGGCAGGGAAGCTAGAATCTCTACAAATGACTCGCTAGGCACATGCGGCAGGGAGTCCTTTAGTGGGGAGCCAGGTATGTCGGTCTGTCGATCAGACCAATCACAAGCAATCACTTCAATCACTAGAAATTTATCAAGATGCTATTCCTCGAATTAAGGAAAAGGAGGTATAGGAATTGCTATCGGCCAGGGGCTTACTGGTTTACTGAGTAGCAAGAATGATCGTCATTGTGTAACCAGGGGCTGAGACATATGAAGTTAATAATCAAACTGGGATCATGTAAACTATCGTAAACAAGAAACGGGAATAACAGTGGTATCCAAGATAAGATAAAATAATAAGTATGACAGAGTGTGATAATATATTAAAAGCTCGGACAGTAAGAAATTCTGAAATAACTAGGACAATATGGATAATTAGTCATACAATTTATTAATTTAAAAACAATCACTTGAATCACTAGAAATGGAACAAGATGCTATTCCTCGAATTAAGGAAAAGGAGGTATAGGAAATGCTGCCCTGAGTTATGTAACCCTATTTGTTGACCTAAATACAGAAACATACTGTACTACAGGTGCCACCACCATCTTTGTAAACAAAAAGTGACTTCCTGTCAATGTTTTCGCCGTTTTTTGCACTCTTGTGCTCGTGGCACTTGACAAGGTGTTGAAAGCTTGCCTGAGTATCTTGGTGGACTTTAGTCTAGGAGACCGGAGTTAATTGTGAGAGAGTCGGTTGATGTGCGACTCGAGATTGTTGAATAGATCAGATCGGAGTCATATTGCATCTAGGAAAACTCAACGGTCGGCGCTTCACACTATATTTGAAATCAACGCACTTACCTGCCAGTTCGCCTGCCCTGAATGGAACATGGTATATCTGAATTACAAACCGCCTTCTTAAGCAACAGGTGCCGATCTTGTTTAATAAAGGCTGTAAAAGAACGGGTTACAGAGCCAGAGAAATAGACAGAACGGCATCTCCAGCATCTTACAAACAGGCTTACATTACACAGAACAACCAGGGGGCCGCGTTAGCGAAGACGATAGGAGACTCGCTTTTAAATCCTGCTACGACTCGCTACAGCTCACAGCCGGTGTTCAAAACCGGACGGTCCCCAAGGTTTACCTAGCCTCTAGGTAATGGGTACCAGAGTTAACACTCTGGGGTAAATGGAGGAACGTCGCTGTAGCTACGGAGTTTCGTGCGGACGAGTACACAGGCGGACAATTTCTTATAAACTGTCCGTACTGGTGGCAGAGCACTTATGGTTTATAACCGTGTGCAATGACGCTGGTTCACATCTCCCGACTTTACCCTTTACCTTTACACAAAACAACCAAGCTGACACTAAGAGACAAAGTGCAGATTCTCACATCGCCTCACAGCCAGAGGTGATGAAACCGTGAGGACTAAAGCAGCTGGAGTCCTTCATAAACATTGTAAGGGTGGAGGGAGAGGGTTGAGAGAATCTGTAAAGGTTCTAAGTCGTCTCCTTTTGCATAAACATAAGTTATCTGTATATAGTATCGTATTTGTGTTTTTCACGTGGACTTAGACTTCTAGTAATTCCCCCCTGGTCTCTGGGTAGTGAGATCTGGCGCCCGTGTGCATTGTTGCGCACGTAACAATTCCCTTGGCAGTTGGAAATCGAAAAGAGTAGCCTAACAGCGCTGCCTGGGCAAAATTTGGAGTTACAAATCTACCCAAAGTATTTCAGGATCCTCGCCAGTGCTATAGAGCCTGTGCACTCTGCTGAGCGTCTTCGGACTCAGACTTAAGTCAGAAGAAGAACGGAGCACTTATGGGTTACTACCCGTGTGTCATGATGTTGATCCGTTGTTTAAACCTCAAATATTCTTCCCGTTTACATTCTTTGCATATGGCATATATAGTTAGTTTTTCTTTCTGTCGGCTAGTGTTTCTATCTGTCGGAGTCAGTAACATATACGTTGCGAACGCGCTTCATAATCCCGAAATACCCTATTCAATCACAGTTGAGGGCTGTTTGACAGCAGACTGTTATACGTTGAATTTTACAGTGGTATATGACGCCGGCCTTTGAGGAAGCAATAACAAACAAATACCTACTAAATTCATAGACACCCCTCACTCCCATGCTGATGCTGGTTCTGTAACGTCATACAAAGGATACGCAACTGACTGTTTAAAAATGGGAGAGAACTAAGCACGTTTCAGTGGACCAAGTGGTGAAGTAAAAACGCTGGCGGTGAATAGGACATACGTTTAGAAAACCTGAGAACGATATAACTAGAATGTTTTTGCACTGGAACCCAAGGGGCATAGAACCCAAAAAGCCACACACAAAAAAATTAAATTTAAAAAGATGGGGAGGACATGGGGAGAGCTGCATGCGAATGTGAAGGACAAAACGACTTGGCGTGAGTTAGTTGAGGGCCTATGCTCCACTGCGTGTTAGAAGAACTGACTGGTTTTTTTTTAATGGCTTCAAGCAAATATTTATCAATGCATTTAGTTCTTCTTCTTTCTTATAGCGTCTTTAGCTAGCAAGATTGGTTAAACTAGCTGCGTGGCGACGGGGTGGCGAACTCCTTGTAGTCCGAGTTCACATTCGGGGGTATACATGAAAGCCGTATATTTCCCAGATTAACGGTATCTATTATGGAACCAATGCCGAAGGGTTGCGATATCAATAGTACCGAGCCAAAGGGTTTATTGATTATGGCTTCTGGATTTAAAAAAAAAATACGTCAATCAAATTTCATTTACAGTAAATTATTTTCCTGTTTGCAGTTTCATGCAAATACCACATACTGTTAATTATTGTTCGTGTTTTTTTTTTTGTTTTTTTTCATGCAAGTCATCTCTAAACAGCATTGCAAAAATGTTTCTTCCCTTTCTCTTGACAACTTTCATTATTTGTAAAACAGGATACTTACCTGACACTGGCCCCTTGGAGATGTTTATGTGGCACGTAGTAATCCCATAAATATAGTAGAGGTTCGTAGACATAAAACACATCTGGGTGTGCCTGTAATCAGTGGGTATTGGAAAATCTGTTAGTCTTACATTGTGTGATATACAGGCAGTGATATACAGACAAAGTAGTGGTATAGCAGACTAATGCACAACAGACATATGTTGAGACTGATGTACAGTGGGCAAAGAGATGAACAGGCAAACAGAGAGAATAAGAAGTAAATAAAGTGAAGACAGTTTTTCACGTTGGTGGCACCTCGGGCATGTGAATGCTAGACTTGTGCTCTGTATAGACCAAATGATTTAGTGATGGCCAGTATCACTCCTGCCGCCTTTACTTCCCAGTACACTACCGGGTATCTATTTTAGGCTGATCGACTTGGGAAAGACAGCATAATGGTTGGTACATAATACTTAGTGAAGGACAATATGCCCAGTACCCATAGCAGGGGAAACGGTACTTGTATACGTCAGACATATACATATAAACTCCCATGTTAACAGACTGAAAAGAGATTCAGGAGATATCTTGGGAAGTAAAGACAGTCTATGTGATTGACACAGAGTGTAATCGGTTTCTAGAAGTAGGAGCCTATCTCCTTTTATCCAAGACACTTAAAGAATAAAAATGAGGACTTTGATTCGCATTACTGTACTATGAGGCTTCACATTAGAGCCTTAAAAGTATGATAGAAAATGCAAAACCATACCATTGTCGATATTGTTTTTAAGAATGCCAAGAGTGTTAAGCACTTGACATCACGGTGTAGACAAACACTTTGACGTCATAAAGACAGTTTAAAGATGGCCGTTTCACTTTTTACATGTACCAAAGAGGAGCAGCGTTCGATGATCCGTTTTTTAAGAATTTCATTTAAAGCCCTCTTTTACTTCTGAAGCATCCAGTTTGAAACCACAGAGACAGCAGCCTAATCTACCGGAACAATGCTTCAACAGCGAGAACAACTGGTAGGCGTGGTTGTTGTCCTTAGGCGTGGTTGCTGTCCCTTATCCAAAGGGCCAGACAGACTGCCTCCAAATGTCGGTTAAGTGCAGCTCTGTAAAATGCGCATAACATCAAAGTGAGCAAAATTCAGAAACAGATTTCCTGGCTGTAGGAAGTTTTTTTTTTTTTTTAAAGAACTGCACGCACGTATTTCTTTCAACTCGCCCCTGTGTCTGCTGATTGGTCTTATCTGTTCCAGACAAATATCCTGGGTTTCAGTGTTATAAATATCTATGTGAATGAAACAATCGAAGCTTTTTATTTTGTGTGTTTTTGTGTGTGTGGTAACCCCAAGTGCTGCAAAGGCTATAGATTCGCCTTTAGATTTCCAACATCTCTTTATTGTTGTTTTGTTATAGAGCAGTGGTTCTTAACTTTTCTAATGCGGCGACCCTTTAATACAGTTCCTCATGTTGTGGCTACCCGCAACAATACAACTATTTTTCTTTGCTACTTCATAACTTCAGTGAATATGTGTTTTTCGATGGTCTTAGGCAACCCCTGTGAAAGGGTTGTTTGACCCACAAAAGGGTCGCGAACCACAGACTGAAAGCCGCTAATATAGAACTTTGAACACTTTTTTTTCTAATGTTCCCATCCGGGATTGTTGACCAGAGGAGCTATTTTTTTTCAAATGCGAATCCAACAGGATCAAATCTCATAAATCCTGTTCAATCCCACGAATAATTCGATGCGAGTAATAACACACATTTTTGCTCTCTTCCGAATGATGGGTCTGAGTTAAAAATATAACTAAACAGGGCCTTACTGATTTGTAAAATTAGGATTTGTTTCCGGCAAAAATGGCAGACCATCAGCTTCGACACAGATAAGCAATAATGTTCTACCGATTGAAAAACTGGCAGCCGACTTATATATATATAAAACAAGTTAAGGTTAGCCCTAGCCCTAATCGAACCCTAATACTCAAACAATTGAAGGGGTAATGAATGCTACTTAAACGGAAGCAAACCTAGGTTAGTTAGTTGCGTATCCTTTACAGGACGTTGCAGAACCAACCCAGCAGCCGCTGGCTGTTGTGTGGTTTTTGTCGTTTTTCTGTGAAAATTTACGTCCAGTAGTTTGCCATTGCTCCTGGACGGTCGGCCCACTGATACCACTGACGAAACCAAGGCAAGGCGCATGGGATCGCAGCTGGGATCGAACCCGGCATCCCGGAATTACAAAGCGTTCGCATCGACTTAGCCACAGAGCCGACGGAAGCAAACCTACTGAGGCCCTAATTGGGTATATTTTAAAGCACGATCACTCAGACCCATCATTCAGAGGAGTGTCCATTTTGTTTTTAAAATACAGGATTACAGATAATAAAAAGATAAATGAACAGACATATTGATAGATAGATTGATCCACCGGTAGACAGTCTGACAGATAAACGAACTAGTGAATGTATTAATAGACAAGTGTACATTTCAACATAGAGACATAATGACCAACAGAAGAGACAGGCAGATGAATAATATAATGATAAACATATTGATAAATAAGCAGGCGACAGACAGACGTACACGTAGGTAGGTCGATAACTAGACATACAAAACAGAAAGATAGGCAGAAAGTCAGACAGACAGACACGTTGGTATGTCGATAAGTCGACAGACAAGACAGAAAGATAGGCAATCATGCAGACAGATGCATGGATGGAAGGATGAGGATGGATGGATAGACGGATGAAAAAACACATAGACCAACCGACAGACAGACAGACAGACAGACAGACAAACAGACAGACAGACAGACAGACAGACAGACAGACAGACAGACAGACAGACAGACAGACAGACAGACAGACAGACAGACAGACAGACAGACAGACAGACAGACAGACAGACAGACAGACAGACAGACAGACAGACAGACAGACAGACAGACAGACCAGACAGACAGAACAGAGGAATCAAAGACACAGCATATAGACACACACTTGTACCTGTAAAATGTCTCCACACAAAGTGGATCCACTTCTCATGTAGCTCAAGATAAGAATCTTAAGTGAAGACGGAGGAGTCGTGTCGGTAACATCAGATATAGAACCAAGCAGTCTCGGAACAGCCGCGGAATGTACTGTAGAGACAGTTAAAACAGATGGACTCGATGCTGCGATATAAACCTGACATTTCTTCATGTATCAAAGTAACCAGGGTAAATGTACAAATAGTGAAAAGCCCGGCTCTCTAGCGTAGTTGGCTAAACCGGATTGCGCGGTGACCGGGTGACGAACTCCTAGTGGTCCGGGTTCACTCCCGGGGGTAGGCAGAAAAACCACATTTCTCCCAGATTTACGGTATTTACAATGGAATCAAGGCCGAAAGGTTGCGATATCCATAATACCGAGCCTAAGGGTTAACAACTCATGGCTTCTGGATACTAAAACAAACAAACAAATAGTTAAAACAAATTGGCTCAGAGTTGTGATATAAAGTTGAATTGTTATCTTATATCCAAGTGACGTCAGCCTGCATGGCTTAGAGGGGTTGCGAACGCGGTTTGAAATTCCCAAATATCGGGTTCGATTCAACTGGCAGTAGCTGTATGTTAGTTTCGACAGTGATACGGAGCACTGATAGTTTAGAAAGCAGTGGCAAACTAATGAAAGTTAAATTGACTAGTAAAATCACAAACAGGCAAGAAATTATGAGGTTGGTTTGTTACGTCCGGTAAAATGACTTTATATGGAGAATAATTGACCGAAAGCAATGATACGGTGTGAAAGAATGAAAGAGGGAATGAATCAAGAATTGACATCACTGCACTCGGGACACTCCCAAAGGTGCTCCGTCCTCCTTCTTCGGTAACCGACGAAGCGTTGAGATGCTAATGGTACCAGCAGAGGGGCGGCAGCAGCTTGTCTGTCGGCGTGCTCGTTACTTCGCACACATGAGTGTCATGGAAAGATAATTCATGATATGCACTCGATTTGGGTCAAATCGAGTGATGCAACCACTCTGATAGAAGGACACCAGTTTTAATTTTCAGAAGCAAGCTCTGCGAGTCTGTTACAATAGCAACCTGTCGGGCTGTGCTGTTCTCAAGCCATCTGAACGCTGCCGTTACTGCCTCCACCTCCATTCTCATACTGGATGTAGTAATAACGTGAAAGAAAAGTAATGTTTACATCACTACCACATCGAGTGTGTGGTGTTTTACCCATATTTGTATGTACTAGCCAGCACTCAATCATGAAGGAATAAACATCCTACAGACTGCTTTTACTTCGCGGGGAATTTCCTAATACCAGTTTAAAACTAGGTTAACACGAGAACGCCGTCAGTTCTGTACCTCGGTGAAAATTCAAACCTATAGCTACAGAAAGGGTAGGCAGTTATGCTAGCCATTGCGCTATATAGATTTTTAAAGACTTTATGGTTACAGTAACAGAGAGTCGAGACATTAGGACAGCAATAAAATTATCAGCGATGAAGCGGCTCTGGCGTCACTATGCCTGCCCCAGGCTCATGTTTATGGAATTTAATTCAAAGTCTGGTCGACTTGATTTTTGTTCCCCTCTAGATCAATGGGTTTATATATATATGCTAGCGTGTGCGCGCGCTCGCGCATGTGTTTGCAGTGTATGTTTTTTGTGTAAGTGCGTAATACTAAGACAAAATGAAAACACAGATGAGGTAGAGGACGGGAGAATAAAATTTGTGTTTACTATCCCGGCAGCAACTGGGCAGTTAAATCTAGTAGAACTATAAAAATGTGTTTACCGGGTAAGAAATGTAATAGAGCCATAAAATGTAAAATAGTTAATTAGTTAATCGACAGATTATCCTCATTGCAGATCGGACAAGTCCAAAAGCCCTCCGACCCCATCTTCAGAAGATCCCTCAGCGTGTGGCGACTGATAGCACCAGTTCTGTGTTGGTTTACTATTCTTCTTTGGCTACCTGTATAAAGTTGACGTTAGGCGACACCTCTTTTGACCTGAAGTTTTTATAGTCTTTTAAGTGTTGCCGACTCAATGTCACATCATGAATCATCTTCTCGTCCTGCTTCCTTGACAGCACTGAGAATGTCGGCACGGTTCACTGCTTTTCCAGTACCTTCTACCTTGGCCCTACCAGCAAGCCTATCCGCTCGTTCATTCCCTATTACATGAGTGTCCTGACACAACAATAAAAATAGTTCCTTTCCAACACAGCGTTCGGCTATGATGACAGCAAATACGTACATAAATGTAAAATGGGGGTATGAAATTTAATAGAGCTATAAAAATATATAAATACGTAGTAAAAAATATTGTAAATGTATATACAGGGTAAGTTATAACATAGCTATAAAAATGTTACGTGGAGTAATAACAACATATAGAACTCTTAAAATGTGTTTTTGGAATTAGGAAATAAATAAGGTATAGGGAAAGATTATGCTAGGAAACAAACAACCTCGTCTACAATGACAATGACGCGTGGAGAGAAAGAACACAAGACGTTGAAAATATGAAGACAGCTGGTTTATAGTTCTTCTAGACTAATATTTTGGTACTATCATTTTAGTCCACCTCATCTCGCGGAATCTGAGAGATCCCAGGGAAAGTCCAATATCATTGAGGGTTAGGTTAGAGTTAATTAGTGCTCATTTCACACTGTCACACCCCTAAATTATTGAACTTTCCCAGGGAACTCTCCGGCAACTCTCGGTGTACACGAGATAGGGTGAACTAAAATAAAAGGACTACATTTTTTACAGGGCAATCAGCATTCGGTGGATAATGTGGCCAAAAGACCACTGCTGCCTTTGCTTTCAAAGAGATTTCCTGGTGCACACTTTGGGCTGAATCGATATGGAAGCCAGGACCAATTGAAGAAAAATCAGCAACGGTGTGGATTTAAGGCCCATGTGGTTATTTTCTATTAAGTTACCACATCATGTGAGATGTAGAGACATACCATAGTATTAGGGGGAGGGGGGTGTTCAGGGTTATAAATAAATAAATAGCGACTACTACTAACCCCCCTGCCCCCCCCCCCCATACTATAGGATATCCATAAATCCCGCGTTATGTGAAGACTAAACAGAAAAGAACCGCTCACCTTGCGGTGAAAATGTTGCAACAAACCCACACGACTTACCTCTCTCGTGCACTAAGGTCAAGGAAACTTGGACATGTAGAGCCAACACAGCCATGGCGCCAAAAAACAGAAGCAGACGTCCTTTGTTTCGAGCCAGTGTGTGGAAATAACTACATGAGAAAAAAAAAAACATAGATAGCAATTGAAATACAATGCTACCTAAGTAAACGTTTACTCTGGTATAGTTCCAACTCGGTAAACGTCCTGTTTAGACGTCAAAACATTTGCTTGATATGCGACGTTTGTTTGGAATACAAATTTGTAAGAGTCAAAATTATTCCCGACACCGCACGCTATCGTTTACGTTTCTCAAGGCAAAGCAACGGATAGAAAGTCACGTACCCTCCCCCCCCCCCCCCCCCCTTTTTTTTCCCTGTCAAATCAGTACTGTTGTGTTGAGCTGAAACATTTAAAAACAACTAAGGCAATTACTAATAAACTGCAAACATTCAATAACTGGTCTCTGCGCAGAATAGAAGGAATTAAATAACATTAAATGTTATGATAGGGTCACTTATGTAGAGGTTTAGGAGGAAAACTAAACAAGTTCAAGAGGACCGAGAGGTGAAAAAAAAAAAAAAGAAGCCGCTGGCTTTGGATAGGACACACGTTAAGAAAACATGAGAACAATATAAGTAGAATGACTTTGCACTGGAACCCAGAGGGGCATAGAAATAAAGGAACCCCCCCCCCACACACACACACACACACACACACACACACACACACACACACACACACATGAAGACGGGAGCTAGAGAGTGGTGTTAAAAAAGATGGGAAGGACAGGGGAAGCGCTACATACGATAGCGATGGATAGAACGACTTGGCAGGAGTTGGCTAAAGGCCTGTGCTCCATTGAGGTTTAGAAGGCAGAAGAATAAATCCTATTTTGGGCTCGGTCGACAAGGAAGCACTGGCAACAACAACAACAAAAACTAAATCCGCACCGATATGCTTTCGAACCCACGAACTTGCAATCCAAAAAGACAACCAAAACATCCAGTCTCTGCTTCATCGCAGCTTTCGAACCAGGGCTTGAGTGAAACAATACTAACATTGTACAGAGCTGTCCAGCCATTGATGTGTCTGTCCTTCTGTCCGGCCCTACGCTGCCTGCTCGATTGTTTCTGCCTCACGTACTAGTGGCTGGCTCTTGGTGCATCTTCTGGTAGGAAAAACAATCATTGGATTTGAAAAAACATTTACTGTCACGTTTAGGCACTCTGGTTTGACCCTTTTCCTCCGCTCCCTTACAGTGTGTACGCTGAACCCTCTCCCATGCCCCCCACTCCTATCCCATTCGTGTACAGAAGTTATCTTTTTAAACTTATATTTATTTATTCTTCAGTATTCCGAGCCCTTGAGGTTCATTGCTGCAGATATCACCCGCCTCCATTCATCTCTCTAGTTGGCCTTCTAATTCCACTGGCTAACACCAAGCATTTGCAGGTCTCTCTGGAAATTATCTCTCCTTCGTCTTCTTGGTCTGCCTCTTGTTCTACGACCATTCATCTCCCTTGTGTGTACAGTTTTTAACCTGTCTGTCATCTGACAGACATTCTTCAATATGTCCCAGCCATTTAAACTAATTAGCTCTCATGATGCTAATGATCAATGGTGCTTTAAACAGATTATGAATTTCGTTGTTGTTTCTCACTCTCCTTTCCCTGCTGTCTGTATGTGTGTGTGTGTGTGTGTGTGTGTGTGTGTGTGTGTGTGTGTGTGTGTGTGTGTGTGTGTGTGTGTGTGTGTGTGTGTGTGTGTGTGTGTGTGTGTGTGTGTGTGTGTGTGTGTGTGTGTGTGTGTGCGTGTGTGCGTGTGTGCGTGTGTGCGTGTGTGTGTGTGTGTGTGTGTGTGTGTGTGTGTGTGTGTGTGTGTGTGTGTGTGTGTGTGTCGGCCTCTAATTCAAGAAGGCCAGTTGCAATTATCGGGCAATTTGGATTTCAATATCCTCCCCTCTGTTGCCGTGGTAGTGAATCTGACCTATACCTTTATCGAGGCCATCCTCCGAATAACGGGCACAAAAGATGGCGGCCAATGGCGGCCA